CATTTATTAATTAAATTTTTTATTTTATTTTTTAATTACTTGAAATACTTCATAATCTTCTACTTCAAAATTTGCTGGGATTCCTATTTTAGGATAACGATTTCCATTATCATAACCATTATTATAAGACCAAACATTATTTTCACAGAATAAATTACCCATAGTTGGTCCATACCTAGGGCCACAAAAAACAGCATAATTCTGTATACTAACATAACTTCTTTTTGAAGTAGAAATATCTCTTCCATTTGTAAAATTAAATAAAAAACTATCTGCTGTAGTTTTCCAACTGTTACTTTGATCCCAATCAAGTGGATTATACCCACCAATTAATTGTGTAGAATTTTTAATTTTTGCAATCCAAATAGTAGCTCCTTTATTGTCACAATTTCTATGAAAAGATAAAGTATCATTCCCATCCTGACTTGAACGATATAATAATTTAAAGTCACAAGGAATATTTTTTCTATTATAATGTGAAGAATCTTTTTTATCAATCCATGAAGCAAAAATAGGAATATGGTTTGATTCAATCAAGGTTGATTTAATGCTAGGTTTTCTTGAAGGTGTCAAATCATTTTTAGGTTTCATATTAGGAACTATATAAAATTCTAAAAGATTATGAATTAAATCTTGTGGTAAGATATCTTTATAACAATAAACTTTATAAAAGAAATCTGTAGGTTCAATATCATAAAATCGAATTAAAGGAATAAATCTGTACAATGCCCTCTCGATCTTTGTAATATCTTCTTTATTCCATTTTAATGGTTCATTCTTCATATTTTGTTGAGAAAAACACCATTTTAACAAATTTTCCCAAATTTCAATTTCATCCATATTTAAATCATCTCTTTTTAACAATAATTCTAATAAAGGAGCTTTTAAGTCAATAAATTTATCAGAATCAAATAAAACTTTAGGTTCTTCACAAATTTTTTCAAGACAGAAATTCCATAAATCTGTAAATGTTTCATGTTGATAAACAGTTTCAAGAATTCCAGTTGGATTTTGGTATAAAAATTCAATTTGGTGTTCAATCAAAAATTCTTGAATATGAGAAACTAAAGGATGAATATTAAGCTCATCAACTGCAATTAGCAATTTCAATACATCAGGACCTTGTAAATTCTTTAATTCAATATTTCCACAATAAATAAACCTAATTTAGTACAATAATATAATATTAATTAGAATTTCCTTTTTAACATAAAAATTATTATAAACATTACAAATACCTAAGAATAATATTAAATAATTGTGGAGAAATATTTGGATTTTTGAAAATAAATTTTCCATCCTTTTTCTCAGCCCATTCATTAGAAAAAGCAGAACGAAAGTATTGAGACCTAATAGATAAAATATTTGAATGAGCATGAATTTCCTTAACATATTGCTCTTCACCAGCGTAAATAATAACATCATATCCAATTTCTGTCTCAAAAAGTTTTTCATAATCGTTAGATAATTCTGCCCAAAATTTTGAAGACATTGTTTTTAATTTATAAACGTAGTAATTAGAATAAGCAAGAAATGCAGAAAATGCGGTAAAAAACTAAAAAATTTAAGTTTGAGGTATTG